CCCTGCACTTTCTGTAGGTAGGGTAATTTTTTTCTATGGAAGGTTTTGTTGGTGGGTTGTTGTTCCCCTCCTTCCATTAGCATTTACTCTCTTATAAGTGGACATTAGACCTTTAGTACAGGATATCCATACTACAATCCACAGACCCAAAGAAGCTAAGGAATAAGGCTGGCTCAAGGAAGGGTGCTAGAATGTCACTGAAAAGGAGAAATAAAACAGACAGCAGAAGTGGATGAAGAGAAGGAACTAGGCAGGAGATGGAATGGGGAGGAAAAAAAGGTGAGGGTCAGATGTGGGGAAAACTGGGGTGGGAGGTGAGAGGGCTAGGAACAAGAAAAGAAACTGAGGGTGAACATCTCTTTGTCAAGCTGGAGACCTTTGACATTGTAGGTTCCTGGGAGGACATGGGTGTGACTCAAGCTGAGATTCCTAATGGGGAGATATGAAGACTGAAATGACCACCTCCTAGCCAGGCAGGACACCAGTTTTTCTTAATGAAATCTAGATTCTTCTGATGGCCTCTGAGGAAGCAGGTAGGTCTGTGAGGAACCTTAGCCTGAATGTTGGGGATTGAAGTGCTTGGAGGAAGAGTCCCAAGATCCAATAGGTTTCTAAGGATGTCAGTTATTTAGAGTTCTCTTCAGAGAACCTCCTTACTTTCAGTGCCATACATTGACTTGCAAAAGCTGAAAAGCTCTGTACAGCAAACTGGCTTTGGGTATTGAAGCTGATGGCCTTACTCTGTGAAGATTGTTACAATTAAGATGGATTCATTTGTGTTAAACCAGAACAAAGTGAATGAATGAATGAATGAGAAAGAAAGAGAAAAGGGAGAGGGGAAGAAGGGGGAGAAAGGGAGGAGAGACTGAAAGACAGAGATGCAGAGAGAGACAGAGACACAGAGATGGAGAAAGAGATGGAGAAACACACACACATACAGACAAAAAGAGTATCCCTGGAATAAAGAGCTCTGTCAGAATCACAGCTTGTACCAGGAACAATCATCCATACCATTGCATGCTATTTAAATTATTTAATTCATCTTGATTTAGCTTTGGTGGGTCAGATCTTAAAATGTAGTCATTTCTTTTAGATTTTTTATTTTAAAGTATATACATTTGAGCCTCTGAAATTTTCATGTCTATTGTAGTATCTCCCTTTTAAAAATAATTTTGTTAATATGAATCTTCTTTCTTTTGGTTAATTTTTCTAAAAGTTTGCCAACCTTGTTAATCCTTTTGAAATTCAACTGTTCACTTCATTCATCCTTTTCTCTCTTCTATGCCATTAAGCTCATCCTTGATTTTTAAAAAAATTGTGTTTTTTTTTAAAAAGATTATAATATATTATACAATTTCCTTTCTTTAAACCTTCCCACATGCACTCTACACTCTCTTTCAAATAGTTGGCCTTTTTGTCATAAATTGTTGTTACAATATACGTGTGTATACATATATATTCATATACACATATGTAAATATATTCATACATATATATGTGTGTATGTATTTATATATGAGCAAATACAGCCTGGCTAGTCTGTATAATATTACTAGTATGTATGCTTTAAGAGTGACCTTTTGGCAGTGGATAATTTATTGGTGTGTTCTTCCCTGGGGAAGACTATTTCTCCTACTTTTGGCATGCCTTAGTTGTCTGTAGTTCTTTGCATTGGGTTGAAACCTCATGAGCTTTCCTCATATGCTTTGATACATACTGATGTCATCCTTGTAAAGATCATGTTTAGACAGTCATGTTGGTGAGACTTTATGAGACTTTCTGACCATCCTAAGAGACACAATCACCCAGCAAACTCCCCATTCTTCTGCTTTCTGCAGTCTTTCTGTCTCTTCCACAATGCTCCTCACGCATTAGGGGCAGACATTGTATTGTAGATTTATCAGCTGGGATTAGGTTCCACAACTCTGAATTTTGATTGGCCATGGTTTTCTGTAATGATCTCTGTCTCTTGCAAAGAGAAGTTCCCTTGATAAGGGATGAAGACTATGCTTATCTTGGGTATAAAGATAAATATTTAGAATGTAGTTAAGGATTATGTTGGTTTAGTGAAGTGAAGATTCTCTTCCAAGATTCGTGACTTCAATTGCCCTAGGTTGTTTTCCAGAACCAGGTATAATTCTGATATTGTTGAGCTAGTCTTAAGTCCAATTACAGAGGTGTTTTTTACTGCTAAGGTGTGCATTCCACTATCACATGCTTAGGGTTATAATTCCATGCTGGCCATTGTTGTGATTCATGGCATCATAGCTGGGTAGGACTATTGATTACTTTCCTAATTTGGAAGCTTAGATAGCACCTTCTGGTACTATAAAAGATAGTTCTCATGGATCAGGCCTTTTCCGCAGTTCTAGCTCAGGAGTTTCCAGGCCCTGTGTCGGAAGTTCATGGTGTCTCCAGCAATAGGGACTTACCTTCCATCTCTGGGGGCAGCCAAGAGCAATAGCAATTGATCATAATGTTTTGGGGAGTCTCTTGGACAGCTCATGACAATAACACAAAAGAGAGGTTCTCATGTCTGGGGTTGGGTTTTTTTGTTAGGTGGTCTTGGCTCTTAGAGGGAGTATTGTAAGACCAGATGAGAAATTTTCAGTTAAACCATATATGTATATACACAAACTTATGTGAAGCTATCTTTAGATAAAAATGATCCTCTTAGGACTCCCCTCATTGTGTATCATAAATTTTTATATTCTGTGCTTTTAGTTTCATTAAATTTTAAGAATTAAAAAAAATTCCTTTTAGTTTCAGAAATAATTAACACTAAATACCTTTGGAAAAAGCCATAAGAAAACTAGTGTGGAAGATACCAACAATATATACATACACATATATAAACAGAGTCTTAATAAAGTTGCCCTATAAGGAGATCACAATGACCCACTAGACACTACAGGTTAACAGATAAAGCTCCCAATGTCAGGAATGGGTTACCTCTTTTGGAGTTGTTGGCCAATGAGGTATGATTGGCTTTCAGGCAGTCTAGCCTATTGTCAACACTATTGGATACCCTTCACCTCTGATAGATTATAAGACCTATTGTAGAAGTCATCACATACTTTACTATATATAGAATCAAGTTAGGACTAACTGGAAGCTTAATTCATACTGGCTAGCCTTCATGGTGCTAGGAGATACTATGTATTGTACCATAGGCAGAAGGTAATCATCAGTCATACCCAGCTGTGGAATAGTGTCCTGGTAAGGCATGCCTACTGATACAATGGTGGAATAAATGTCACAGGAGTAACCAATCAAGTGTCAGCCACTGTGACTGATTTACATAAATCGTATTTCACATGATTTTTTTTTTTTCTTTACTGGGCATTGAACACAGAACCTCAAGGATAGTAGTTAAATGTTTTGCTCCCGAACAAAATCATATTTACTTTGAAACAGGATCTCACTAAGTTGCTCAGGCTAACTTTGAACTTGTACTTCTCCTGTCAGCTTCCCAAGTATCTGGGGTAACAGGCCTGGTGGCACTGGAAGAGGAAAGTTCTATATGCGATGAAAGGCACACATCTCTACAACTTGGAGTGTTCCGGTTGGAGTTCACGCACCAGCAAGAGATCTTGTTCTCTTCTCTTTGGAAGGCCAAGAACAGCCCAGGAAATTGTGTTCTCTACTCAGTCTTATGGGACACAGGAGGGTACACTGTGTGGAGGCTGCCCACAGAGTCTGCTCTGCAGCACTGCCAGTGAGATCCTCACTTGAGGTGCTCACAGAAGGAGCTTGTGTCTAAAATGTGAATGAAGCCTTGACAAACCAAGGTTCAGTTCTCTTATTAAGGACTCACATACTAGTCTGTTTGTGTGGGATCTTCTGGGTAAAGGAGACTCAGAACCATTCAGATTTTTAGTGGTCATGTACACACTCCTTAATATAAGTACTGTCTGGGTAGAACCTGATGACCAAACACAGATAGGAGATCTAGCTGAGTGGTTACCAGGAGAATGATGAGCACAGAGCATGAGGAGTCTGAGGGTTGTTTGCTCCAAAGCAAGCTTTGCAATAGCTTCTAGATTTAGGGATTTGGGACTTTGGATTTCAGAGTGTCAGGAAGACATTTCCCCAGAAAATCTGGGTGTGGGAGGGCTGGACAACCCGGGATCTCTAATATGCATCATGTGCTTTCCAGAAGCTTGACTTACTTTCTGCTTTTGTCTTATGGAAGTTCCAGTGTGGCCTTTGGTTGGGTGATAAAGATTATCTGGTAATGCTCACCTCCTGCTGATAGACTGGCCACAACCTCCTCTGCACCATGGTGGAGATATGCCAGCCACCGTGGTGTTCCTACTGGTCTGGGGGAGTATTGCTGAAAACTGTGGCTTCTCTGGCAAGGGCTGTGCTATGTCCCCTCCACCCACCAGATGGTATCTAGTTTCTTCGCACAATAATTGTACCTCAGGAAGCACAATTCCTGGGAACGAGGGGGACAGTGCCACACAGCCAAGGAAAGCTGAGGTGAGAGCAACAAGACATGAATACACAGAGCTTTGTGGGGCTGTTTGTTTTGCTGCTTTTTAACTCTGCCTCTGACTTTGAAATAGCAGCTTTCTATTATGTCTTCTTAATACAAAGAGGTTGTCCCTGGTCAGACTTCACCTAGATTGCTGTCAGTTATGATGCTATGTCACGTGTTACCCTAATTCTTATAACTGTGCTATTCTATTGCTAAACCAGGACTGTTAATAAGGATCAACACACTCAGTAACAATACAATTGATCCAGTATTGAAAGGTCTTACTTCATGAGCTAAGTAACCGTTGTTATGGTTATAACTATGCCAAGTGTTTCTTACCTTCTGCTGATGACATTCTCAAGTGAAGGGGGTGTGTTTTTATGTATTTTTCATACATAAAGTCTGGATTTTATCTATTAAGTACGTTGAGTATATTTTCTATTATAAGGGTTGACTAAAAAAAGGAACATTGGAATCATGTACATTCCTCTGAAAAACACCATTTTCTTTTCATTAGGGGGATCCACATTATAGAGGCTTCTGACGAACTGAAAGGCAGCCACTTGGGATGAGCGTGTTGCACTTGGTCATCAACATAATGAAAGCAAAGGCAAAGAAGGGTCCCACGCCACCCTGTTGCTTTATCCAGCGCCATTTACAAACCATGACTCAACTTCTGCCAGTGGAGCCTATGGGGGCTTTGGGCTACTTCACAACTCAGGTGAAGCCTTTTGATTGTCAGTCATTTTTCTTTCCTGCACAGTCTACATTTGCCTCGTATCTGTATATGTACATATTCAAAAAAGAAAAAAATGGTTGGCTTAAATAACTTTGATCACTCTAAACATTCTCTTATACCTCCATCTCTGATGCCAGGAGATACTGTATGAATTATTTAATCACATCCTGGAGTGATTCACTCTTAAAGAACCATAGATAGCAAAGACATCCTTGATCTCCAAGAATTGCTGATGTGAACAATTGAGACTCAAAGTAATAAAGAAAAGTTTTTTCTGAAAGAAGGAGATCCTCAATACATGTGTCTATTTCTCTCTGGTTAGCTCTAAGCAAGAAATTGAGAAGAGCAAACCAGCTATTAGGCTATTCTCTGCTTTGATAAACATGACTATTCCATTCTATGACACAGGCAATACAAAGTGTCCTCATCCTTGATGCTACATATTTATTTTTCTGCATGGATGGGAGCACACTTCTTTGAGAAAACCCAGACAGTACTTAATACACAAATTAACACAGTATGCAATTTATAGGACAATCCACAAGTAAGCTTCTGCCTACTGTTCTACTCTGGAAATTAACTTTCCATTTTCCAAACTTTGCACAAGCAAAGTATATTCATATCACTGTTAACTTCAAGAAACCCATTTCTTTTAGACTTTGAGCTGAATTAAACTATGTAGAGAAAGGGGGGTTGTGTCAAGTTTTAAAGGAAGATGGCAGCCAATTTTTTTCGTTATTTATTTTTTATTTTTTTTCCAAGAACAGTTAACATTTGCCAGGCACCTGTTGGCCTCAGTCACTTGCATCTAAAGAGCAAAGCTAATTTACCCACAGCCCACGTTCTCTGAAATGGTTAGCCTTATTTCTTAGCTCTGTTAATCACTAGTCTAACGTTAGCTTCAAGTTCAGTTTTAATCATCTAGCCCGTAATTGTCTACTGCTCCCTGCCACATAAACAAAGAACGTTTGAGAGGGAATAAGGTGAGCAGTTTACATCTTCTATGGATACTTCAAGTAATTGGCCCCAAAGTGAAACTATCGAGCTGACCATGGTTTAGCATGTTCTGAGGGCATAAAATATGGAAGGGATTGACCTGTAGAAAGAGTTGGTACCCAAGAATGTGTGAACATGTGAACATCCTACTTTACCTCAGCTGGCCTAATATCCTGAGCCCCTAGATGATGACAAGATACATTACAGAAGGAACAAAGTGAGGCACACTGATACCGAAAAACAAAAGGCTCATACAAGATGGACAGCGGATGAGATTGCTTCTATCCAAATAAAATCCCACACAGGTCAGCTTTATACGTACACTGACACACACCCATACACACACACAGACACACAAGCAAGAATGTGTATTTTGTAAGATTGGTCCATGGAAATAGACATTCTTAGCAAATGTGGATGACAGATCAATTGGAATTTATTTTCTTTTAACACTGTATCATCATAAAGAAAACTGGTATAAATGAAAAAGTCTATTTCAAATATCTACATCTAAAATTTTAGGCAGTGAAAAAGCACTTTGTTGACAAGGAGTGTGGATGACGTGTTAGCTGGGAGAAACTGCTGGATGCCTTGTTTAGTTGCCACGAACAAATCACATATCAGAACGAACAATACTGCTAAATATTCCTTTTTTTCCTGTTTTTTTTTCTTTTTTGTTAAAACATACTGGGGGAAAGAAAAGAAAAGAAAACTGGAAATCCATACATCTTTCAAAAGTTTGAAATTGAAGCAATATTTAGAACCATTGATGAGGAAACACGGTGGCATTGGTGTAATATACACAATGCACTCTTCGTCTTTAATCTGTAATGTACATCAAATACTTTACAACAATGCATTAACAAAAGGCAAGAGACGTCTTGCTGTACAGAGGAACCCCAATGCAACTTGAAGCCTAGAGCCACACGGATGAAGAGAGTAAACAAAGCGTGAGAAGCCGTCCCCCATAGTGTGTAAACTATTCTGTCTTGTGCTTAGCGATAACCTCCACGCCACCACCCTGACTGTCTCCTCTCTCCTTCCTTCAGCCACACAGACTATAAAGCACTTTAAAAACTCTATAGTTCAAACTAGAAAGGTGTTGAATACGGTTACATTTAGGATTGCGTTTAGCTTCCTATTGATTTCCCAGTTAACTCTCGATTCATTTAGCTTTCTAAAATAGCTCTGAGTATTTCTTTCTGGTTATCACAGCCTTCCTATGGAACAGGCTTTAACAAACTAAATTTGCAGGGAACAAAAGAAAAAAAGAAAAGAAAAGAAACAGAATGTCCTGTGGTATGCATGCACATGCACTGTTCCCGGGAGTGCCTCGTGTCCTGGCTCCTCACACCCAGGAGTCAGGTGAGGCCGGGTAGTGGCTCGTTTCATAGTTCAGTTCACTGTAAGGACGGGCAGCGGAGTAGAAGTCGACATAGTTGCCAGTGGACTTGAGGCCCAGGTGCATGGTGTACTCGCTGGCTGGAGGGCGGTGATGGACCTGGTCCTCAAAGAAGGACTCATCGTAGTTCCGTGTGGAATTCTGAAATGGCTGGTAGGTCTCGTAGTCTTTCCTGCTGGGCTCCTGGGGGACAGGCTGTGCGGAAACCTGGCAGAGAGGAAGTGCCGCTCTGGGTTAGTCAGTTTCCTGGCTTGCCCTTTCTCCCCGTGCCATTCTACCACCCTGCATAAAAAGGGCTAGGGCCTGCCCCAGGTTCTCTGCACACAGTACCAGCGGCTTGCTCTTTCCATGTAACTTGACTTTTTATTTTCCATTTCATGTCTTTGGGGTACAGATTGGTGATTTGATGTTGGCATTCAATGTGTTGAGTAGCATTTCAACCTCCTCAACCACATATTTTCTTATTCTGGGAATCTTCAAATTCCCCTCATAATTCTTTATAAAGTACACAAAACTCACCATGAAGGTCACCTTGTGGGACTGTGGATTTGAGTGTTTATTCCCCCTGTCTCATGGGGGCTGATGGGTCCTTATCTGGCATCTTTTTCTTTCCTCCTCTTCCTTCCTACTCTTCCTATCTCTGCTGACCACTAGTCTATTTGCTTCTTCCATGAAAGCAACTTGGGTTTTAGCAGCCATGCATAAGAACAAGTACACTTGGTCTTTGTGTTGTCCTAGTCAGGTAAGAGAGGGACTGGGGAGAGTCAGTAACTGGTCCAGGGGACTAGGGTGATGCATCAATGAATAAAGTACTTGCTATGGAATTGAAGACTAGGGTTGGATTCTCAGAGCCCAATTAAAGTTGGTAGGTGTGGTGGCAGGCTATAGCCCCTGCACTGGGAAGGCAGAGACAGGGGATTCCTGGGGCAAGCTGGCTAGACAGGATTTGTGGTTCTTGGTTTTTGTACTCATTAAGCAAATCGCCCACTCCTAAATCCTGCAAATGTCCATGGCGATTTCTGTCTCTATGAATTTGCCAAAGTTTGGAGCCTCATGAGAGTGGAACCACATAGTATTTATGCCTCTGAGTCTGGCTCTTCTCTCTCAGTATGTTTTCATTACTTCTACATGTATTTTTATAATATATCTTAAGAACACATAATATTACTTTGAATGTACATACCATAATCTTACTTTGAATGGACATACCACATTTTGTTTATCCATCTGCTTTTGATTGATAATTGGATGCACCTCTGTCTATCTGAGTCCCCTGTTTTGTCTTTTTGGGTATATACCTTGGATCAGAAAGTAACTCTATGTTTAGCCCTTTGAGGAACCCCCAACTGTTTGCCATAGCAGCTCTGCCATCTTGTTAGGTGAGCTATGGAGTAAATTCCATGGAATAAAGATGTTCATTTTTATTTTTTCTACATTTTTGACATCACACTCAGATGCTGCACTATCAAATAAGCTGGAAATGTGCAAGGTCTAATGGCCACATATCTCCTGCTTATAACACATTGCTGTGATTGTGCAAGGAACTGCAGCTTCCCTGTGGTTGGTTCACTCCAACACACCTGCGTGAGTGACAGGACCTCAGACAGACACACACTCAGATATTCTACTCTCTAGAACCCAACTGTTTCCTAAGACTTGGTGCACTTGAAAACTGATTCAAGTAAAGAATGCTACAGGAACAGTGGCTTACATCTATAATATCACCTATGAGGAAGGCTGGGGTGGAAGGATGCAAAGTTTGAGGCCTTGGAAGGTTCAAGGCCAGCCTTGGCAACTTAGCAACACACTGCCTCAAAGTAAAAGTTTAAAAGGGCTGAAGTGCAGCTCATTGGAGAAGTGTCTGCCTGTCAGGCACAAGGCCTTGAGTTCAATCCCTAGTTCTTCAGGCAGAATCTGAAGCTATGTGCTAGGAGTGGTACTGCAGTACTCTCTGGTGTCTCAGTCCAAGTTAATACTGCCTGTACATAGCCTCTGTTTGATGTAGGGTCTAGAAACATTCAAGGGTCCCAAGAGCCTTGTTAGAAGTCAAGAATTGGTTCCTTCTCCTTGACTGTAGAAAGCATAAGATAAGGAACATTCCTGGGCTGATAATATATTAGCTGCACCCCCACATACACCGTAATCTCTTTCTGTTTTGACTGACTGTAGGATTCCTTTTCAGGTACCCGACCCTTCACTTTGAGCAGATGTTTTCAAGGTGTGGAATGAGAGGGATCCCATAGCCAGTGTCCACAGAGATGTACAAAGCTCTGTAGTTTGTAATAGCCACGATGTCTGGCATGGATTACAAAACACTCTGGGAAAGATACAGTTTGATTACTTTTCAGCAGATTCAGTAATTTCTTATTAATTTTACTAAGGTTCAGCGTGGTAGGCTCCTTTAGAAATGGGCTTAGTTAATAGGTAGTGATTTGTAATTAGCGGGGTGTATGTAAATGAATACCTCTAATGGCCTGCATATAATTCTTCTCTCAACTAAGCGAAACTCCTTCTTTTATATGTAATTGATTTATATCAGCAATCGATCAGTTCTGCACAGAAGTGGTGAACTTCATCACAGTGG